CCCCACCCTCCCCGCGGGGCGCAGGGTCCGGCGCGCTCCCGGTGCCCCACGCCTGTCCGAGGGGGCCCACACCAAGGGCATCCTGGCGGGCGTGGCGAGGGCGGGGCCAAAGGACCCTCCCTCCTCACACCCCCTCCCCAGATTCGGAATGAACCCCAAACTTGACTGGATCAAACCTGGTCAAGGTGGTGGTGTCTGCGTGACTGGAGGTGGGGATGGGGACCTTTGTGGGGAGCAAGGTGGACAGCAGGGTCAGAGCCACCTTGGTGGTGTCCCTGCCTCCCTAAACCAAACGGAATCAACCCTGGACCTCCCTCCACTGGGGCTGAGGGCTGGGAAGAGCAAAGTTCAAGGACAGGCTGACAGGCTTGAGACTTAAGGAGACCCTGGGGCCTCACCAGTCGGCACCTGGACACCCACCAGGAGAGGTGCCACAGGCCCCTGGGCGTCAGGTTCTCCAGCTCATGGTCCCCTTCTGGCCCCTAGTCCAGCACTGTCTCACACACCCACGTTTCTTGTCCTGGGAAATGCCACCTGTCCTGTGCTTCGGGGTAGATTCTGGCGAGAGCGGAAAGACCCATTTCTCCTCTTCATTGTAGAAACATTTTTTCCTTTCTCAGGACATTTTGTCTCAAGAAATTCAGAGGACCACCATCAGAAAGGACCCAGCCACTGGGACTCGAGACGTGCTGTCTATGGAGAGTTTACCATATAAATCACTTATTCCACGAGGAGCCTGGGATTTCTTTTAATCATCAGTCCTGAACAGTCTCACAATGCAGCAACTTTGATAAACACTGGACTGTTTTTGATAAATAGACATTCCCGTGTCCTTTCCTAGGAAATACTGCATTTTTGTTCATAAAATGCCTGGTTGTAAAGATAGCCTTCGGAATAATAGTATAAACAGCTCACATTTACGCAGTGGTAAGGTTTTCCCAGGCACAGTTCTAGGTCCTTCATGGCTATGAATTGATCAACACTCAAAGCAGCCGCATTACAGCACAAGCTGGTATGATCTAACTTTACAAATGAGGAAACAGAGGCAGCGAAAGGGTGATGCTTTGCTCAAGGTCACATGAAAGGCAAAGCATGCATCTGGGATTCAAGCCCAGACAATTCGGCTCCAGAATCAAATTGATCTGCCACTGTCACTCAAGAAAAAAAAAAATCAAGCACTTTTCATTATATGTGTATTGAAAGTGACGTTAACATGGTTTTGCAGGAGAAAACATTGTTTTGTTCGTATAACTACATTGTACCGCATGCTAAAATTTAGTAGAAAATGACACATCCCAAATATGCATCAATATTTGGCTAAATTTCACTTGAAATACAGCACGTTGACTTGGGAAAGTTTGGGGACACTCGGCAAGGAAAAAATGCACCTAATCGTCCGGCAAACTGATCTTCATTTGCTTTTTAAAATATACTGAAAAACCAAGAGTCACTAAAAGGCGTTTCTTGTTCACATTCAGCCAGGGCGTGAGGCATGCCACCTTTCACTACCTAACTGTTATCCGTCCACATAGGCTGGGCTATGTCAACGAACAAACAACCCCCAAATCTCAATGGCTCAAACTGTGCAGGGCTATGCCTCTCACACTACAACCCCCGGGGTCAACAGGGGGGTTCTGCTGACTAGTCACTTCAGGACCCAGCCTTCAGACAGCGGCCATATCGAATCATGGCCATGCCAAGGGGAGAGAACTACTTAGCAGGACCTCGTACTGGCCATTAAGTGCCCAGCCTACAAGTGACGCCTGCTATTTCTACTCATCACTTATCAGCCAGAGAGAGGATGCCATGTGGACACCCCAGCACAAACGAGGGAAGGAGGCAGGACGTGAAATTCTACCGTAGGCCTGGAAGATGGAGAACCGGAGGTCATTTGGGGGACAGCACTCATGATGCACAGCAACTTTCCAGAAAATAGGGTGTTATTCCAAACTCCCCCACACTCCCACTGCCAGTCCCCCAGAGTATTATATGTGCTCATTTTTAAGTTAGAATGTAATGCAACCGTTTTATAGAAGAGTAAAGAAAAATGCCTGCCCAGTGAATTTTGGTTTAGACCAAGTTCACTGATGGGGTTGGATCTCGGGCGTCGGCGCCCCTTTCCTGAGCCAAGGTCCTCTGAGAACTGGCACTCGAGCTTCCAAATGATGGTGGCATTTCTCCTCCTGCACGCTCTCAGCTGGAGGTGGCAGGAGGCGAGGGCAGAGACTGTGCAGGCCACGTGCTCGCTGAGTAATTGACCTCCAAACCCTCAGCTGCAGAAACCTATCGGCAGCTCCAGTTCTTGCCCAGAGATGAAGTGGGGTGCCAATGACACCCCAAAACCCCAACTCCGACTCTGCCGTCCCCTGACTCCGATTTAGCTCTGACTTTAAGGGGCTTTAAAGAGTCAACAGAGGTGTTTGTGGAGTCTGTGCGTTAGCCACTGATCCCACTCTCGGATGCCCCCGTGTGACAGCTGGCGGGCCCACAGCCCATTAACTCCGCAGATGGGCACATCGGTCCTCGGGCAGGTGACAGCGTGCGCAGTGTGCTCAAGAGCGGGGAGAGGCAGGGGGCTTCAAGTTCTGCCCGCCAAGCCACCGCCTGCCTTCTCCAGGCACAAGTTCCAGTGAGCCAAGAGAGTGGATGAGAATGAGTGAGAGAAAGATGGACATGTGTGAGAGAGACAGGGAGTGGGGGGGGGGGATTTGGCAGGGAGTGGGGTGTGAGGGAGTATTAACCCAAACGGAAGACTTTGGGTGTCACCTTCTGCTACTATCTTTTCTCGGAAAACATTCTAACAGTGCGATAGGCTGTGAGTCCCTGCTGCCGAGACTGCAGCTGTCCGTTGGGTCCTGAGGCTGACCCAGTTCCATAGTTATCGTGTCACACTACCATCATCAGTCACGGTCAGCAGGATGCCTGTCCCTTGCTAGTTTCTTACGTGGAACAAAGACCTCATCTAGGAAGCCTTCAGGTTTCGATTTTTTATTTATCTACCAAATACTTAAGAGAATGTTTACCACGTGCCAGATGCTATTCTAAGTACTTTACAAAGTGCGTGCACGTAATCCTCATAGCAGCTCTCAGAGGGAGAGCGCCATTATACCCATTTTGTAGACAAAGAAGCAGAGGCACAGAGAGGTGTAAGAACTTGCCAGGAGTCACAGACGCTGGAGATGGAGCCGGATTCGACCTGGGCTCCAGGGCGCATGCTTTGAGCTCTATCTACTCTCAGCTCCTCCCCACACTGCAGATGACCGCTCCTGTTTCCTGCTGGCCCACAATGTAACTCGTCCCTTCATAACAAAAGCTGGGCTGGTGAATCATTAACTGAAAACCAGCAACTTAAAACAACAGCGTTCAGTCACTGAGTGCCTGGATCTACAGCTGAGGCAGGAGGCACAGGACAGGCTCACCTCTGCTCCGTGACGTCTGGGGCCCCAACCAACAGGCATACCAAGTGGAGATGACTCAAAGCTGGGAAATGGGATTATCTGAGGTTCGTTCACTCTTGCGTGTCTGTGGTGACTGCCAGCGGTTGGCTGGGACCTGGGCTGTGCTGTCAGAGCGCCCACAGTGAGGCTGCACCTGCGCACACCTGGCCCACTCCCACACCTGGGACTCCTGCGCCGGCCCCGCCTCCCACGCTGGCCCCACCTCCCACGCTGGCCCTGCCTCCCACGCCCGCCCCAACCCCTCTCAAGCACACCTGGCCCACTCCCACACCTGTGACTCCTGCGCCAGCCTCCCACGCCCCCGCCTCCCACGCCCGCCCCAACCCTACTCACGCACACTGGGCCCACTCCCACACCTGTGACTTCTGCACCGGCCTGCCTCCCACTCGCGCCCCTCCTTGCTGCGTGGGCTTCCTCACAGCATGGCTGTGGGTTCCCAGCCCCAGTCTTCCGAGAAAGCCAGCAGGATCTATGGCCTGTGTGACCTGGCCTCTGAAGTCACTTAGTCACTCCCACTGCCAGATTCAGGGGAAGGACACAGCAGACATCCCTTCGTGGGAGGAGTAGAAAGACTTTACGGAATCCCCCTTCTCTAAGGGGTCTGGTGAAATGTCTCCTGCCCCTCCCCAGCTGTCAGGAGGATAGGGACATTCTAATTTAGGGCTGGCTGCATGGAGGACCCGCCCTGGTCCGGCCAGGGGCCTCGTGGTGTGCACATGGATTTGATTGCCTTACGTTTTAATAACCACCGCCGGAGCAGGAGTCTGACGTCGCCCTGGACTGGAGTCCCAGCGGGCAGGCCCCTTCCCTTCCCCACGTGAGAGCCTCACTTTGCTCAGAGAGCGGCAAATGCCACTTGGCCACCAGTGCATTTCAGAGCAGGAACTGAATCCTGATGAACCTAAACCAGCCTGCGATAGGTCTGCGGACGGTGCTGGGGCCGAATGTGTGTGTCCCCCCAGATTTCATATGTTGAATCCTAACCCCCAAAGGTGAAGGTTTTAGGCGGTGGGCTCTGGGGAGGTGATTCAGTCACGAGGGTTGAGCCCCATTAATGAAGTGTGCAGGGCGAGGCTCTAAGCAAAGATTTTACGCCTTCAT